TTCGTCTTTTATTTCCTTTTCTGTTTTGTTGTTTTCAATGGGTTGGACCTTTAGGTAACTTCCGTCCATTTTTTGTATCATTCCCTCTTTGTCCAATGAGGTATCATTTTCTATGTTTTTCTTATCACACGCATCTAAATCTGCGTTAGGAAATTCCGTCACCGAACATTTCTGTTCATTTAACTTAACGTCTTCATCTTTTCTTATATTCGTCTTTCTACAGATTAATGGAAATGAATTTGATTCTTTCATTTCTCCTTTTTTGTCAGCATTTTCTTGTTCACTTGGTTCGCTTGGTTCGCTTGGTTCACTTGGTTCGCTTGGTTCGCTTGGTTCACTTGGTTCGCTTGGTTCACTTGGTTCGCTTGGTTCGGTTGGTTCGCTTGGTTCGGTTGGTTCGCTTGGGTTGGTTGGTTTCCTTTTTTTTGAACTTTGACTCCAGTAGGTGCTAAACCAACCCTTTTTACTCCTTTCTTTTTTTTTGCTCGATTTTTGTTCCTTCATGGCCTCTTCTGTTACGTTTTCGTAGTGACTGGTGTGTGCCTCCTCTGTTGTGTCCTCTTTTGCGTCCCATTTTGTTTCTTCGTTTGTTTCTTCCTTTGTTTCTTCGTTTGTTTCTTCCTTTGTTTCTTCGTTTTTTTCCTCTTTTGCTTCCTCTTTCTTTTCCCCTTTTGTTTCCCTTTTTTCTTCCTCCTTTTTTCCCCTTTTCGCCATTCTCTCCAACATTTCTGCATATTTTTTTAAGGCTCTTGCTATCGATGGTATGGTTACATTCTCTTTGGGTTTTTTTTGGTTCACCTCTTGGTTGGGTACACGCTTTTCTGAAATCTTTTCATTATCTATTTTGATTTTTTCGTGAGAGCATTCCGACTGAACACTGGGACTAGCTACTTGGGTTCGTACACGAGCTGATGGGATACCCTCGTTGCCTACTTCGGAGTGTATGCCGTCTGACAGTGTCGTTCGATTAGTTAATTTGTCAGTTAGCTTGTCTGGTGAAGCTTTTTTATTCAGTTTTTCGTCGGGTAGGGGAATAGCCTGAAGCCAGTTGTTAACTTTTTCGTTTGGCAGAAGGTTTTCTTCAACCACTTGGTTCACATTTCGGTTCGGCTGGGGGATTGCCTCAACCAAGTCGCCAGAGTTTTGGCTGTACGGATGGTCTTTTTTGGTCTTTTGGTTATTCCTACTTTCGACCTTCCTGCCTACTTTGGATTCTACTTGGGATCCAATTTTCTGTTTCAATTTTTTCATCTCCTTCTGCTCCGGTTTCTTCTTCATCTTCTTTTTCTTCTCGTCCGTGGACCTCTGTCCCTCCGTTGACCCCTCCCCCTCAGTAGATCCCTCCCCCTCAGTTGATCCCTCCTCCTCAGTAGATCCCTCCTCCTCCGTTGACCCCTCTCCCTCACTTGGGCCCTCCTTCCCTGCCTCTACGCCCCCCTCAGCACCAGAAACGGCATCTCCACCCCCTATGGACAAATTCATCTCCCATGTGGGAATGGCGTTTCCAGGATACTCCACTTTTGACCCATACAAAGCATCAATGTACTCAGAGTGGCTATTGAGCAAAGAGGATTTAACACTATCTCCGTTAAAGTTCATGTCACACGAAGAACATGACACTTTTAAAAGGTGGGATAAGAACAGGAGGTTGAAACAGTACACTAATACACAGGGTATCATTTTTCTTTAAAAGAAAAATATATTAAATTCATATTCAAATGATGGCATTATTTGGGGGAACAAAAGGTAAAATCTGTTTATAATAATCAAAATGGATCAATGTTGGATTTTTTTTCTCTTCTTGTAAAATTCCAGTGTGATCGAATTTTCTTGCATGCGTCATTATAATATATGGTACGTTCAAGCAGGGGAGTGTTTTACAGCGTGGAACAAACCCGGTGTGCCACCTGCAGCACGAGGACGGTGCAGAGAAATCCGCTCACTTAACTTAGTAAGATATACATTTGCCTTCCGCGGTCTCTTAAAAATTAGTTGTAATAGCTGAGGGGTAAAGGCAAAAGGCAACAACAGTCGTGATGACGGTTGCATGAAAGGGGAGGAAGAAAGAAAAATATAACTACGCTAAGTGGCGTGAAAAAGTTGCAATAGTAACAACACCACCCAGAAAGTGACAATAACTTTTTTTTCTGTAATTGGTGTTATGTTAGGAAGAAAAAGTGCAGCCACAAGGAAAACAAAAAAAAAAAAAAAGTACAAAAGTACAAAAGGTTAAGATGAAGCTGAGATGACGTTGGGGTGACGTTAAGATAACGCCATCGCGAACTGAGATAAAACGTCAAAGTGAGGTCGTGGTGATTGCCTGAAATCGCGTTGCGATGAAGGAGGGAGGAATAAATAATGACATAAAATATGTTTTACTACAAATCAGACGAAGTCACCACTATACCACGAAACGGAAAAAAAGAAAAAACAAGGCGTGAAGAAAAAAAAAAAAAAGAACGGAAAGGTAACTTTAAAAAAATAGCCAGGCAGAGGAGGTCACTGCTTTTGAAAAAGGTTGGGTAAAAAATGTTACGAAAAAAAAAATAAAATAAATGAAAAACCGAATCATAAAAATATATATTTAAATGTACTTGCTCTATATTTGTACATCTTTGTGGCCTATTTATTCAGGTGTATAATACATGCGTATATATATTATATGTTATATATATAAATATTATGTATCTATTATATATTATGTATATGTTACTTATGTGCAGATATTACGTATATGTTATTTATTTGCAAATATTATGTATATGTTATTTACGTGCACATATTATGTATATGTTATATATTTACATATTATATGTATTCATTATATGTATCCAATATATGTATACATTATATATGTAAACACATGTACCGGTAGTTGGAGAAAACGGTTAAACGCGAAATGGGCAAGCGGTAGCTTTTTCAACCATTCAACGAATATAGCTAATATGTTGAAAAAAAAAAAAAGAAAAAAAAAATCGAAAAACTTCCATATATATGCGAAGTGATTTCAAACAAGGAAGATATTCTTCCATTTAAGGAAATAAAATTTTCTTGTAAAACGAAGTGGAAATGCAGAGCAAATAATAACGGTAGAGGCATGCGTCCCAATTAAGTCGCTGGGATTTTGCGCTTGCAATTAAAAAAGAGGAAAATGTTCTTCAGCTTATCTGTTCATCCGCCTATCTTCTCATATCAATCTCGTGACCTTCCCGCGATAAGGACAAATCAATGCCAAAAGGATATAACCCCTTCGATTTCGCTTTTTTTTGGTTCTTCCACTGCAACGAATAGGGTAAGGGGGCATGGCCAGCTGCAACGGTTACTTCTCTGTGTTCACAAATGGGCGCATATGTACCTGAGCGGCATGTCCGTAAGCCGAACGCGGTGCCTCGCCCCATCGCACAAGCGTTGCGCAGGGGCCTACGAACATGTATATATAAATGTCTATATCTAATATGTATGCGGATGTATGCATAATATTTATATGTATATCATCTGTCATATGCGCATCTCCGCGGGCGCATCCCTGCCTTGCGCAACAGAGTTAGTTTCACCAGCGGGATCACAAATTGATCTTCCAAAAGGTGAGTCCTTGGGGCGATCCCAAGTGGTATGACCTTAACGCAGACGCAAATCCATCGAGGTACACACCGGGGGGGATTTTCCCCCCCACCCCCTGAAGCCTCTTGTTCCGCTTCTTCCTCGCGTGGTCATTTTTTTTTATATTTTTCTTGAAAATATTTGGTATAATTCGCACCCTTTTTAAAGGTAAAATATTCCAGCTCCACTTGCTCATTATTTTCTTTCTTGTTCTCCACTACGAAATTGGATTCGTCCGTAAAGTTAAAAATTTTCTGTTTCCCCGTTTCGTTTCCACTATTTGGTATCTTTCCAGAGGTGTCCTCATTTTTTCCGTCCCTTCCTTCACCACAAAGGGGGGATTTCTCCGATGGGAATACCTCCCCCGTGGGAGCACCTGCCTGGGCATCCTCCAACGCCTCGTCTGCATTTAGGAATTCCTCCTTTGTGTAGTGCGATCCCTTTTTCATGGTGACGGAAAAATTGACAGACGAGTTATTATTCGTCGCGAAGGTAATGTCACCATTTAGGGACACAAAATCGAGGACGCATTGCGCCTGGTGAATGGTATGAATTTTCTTTATTAATGACTTCACATTATTTGTTGGGGTTTTAAGTAGAGTTTTTAACACGTCCTTTATTACGTCGTCGTAATTTACCTTTAATTTGGCGTTATGGAAAATTGTCTTAACAATAAAGGAGAATTTCACTTGGTCATAAATTTCTTTCTGTGATTTGTTAATGAACTCTTCAAAACTTAACACTTTTTCGTTCTTATCATTTTTATCATTTTCGCTGCTTTGCATTTTTTTTTTCTTCAAATAACTACTGTATAGCATTTTCCCTTGCGCGCGAAACAACGTTGTGGGTACATTTATCGACGAGATTTCCATTAATTTTTTATAAGATTCCATTCTCCTCTGGTCAACACATTTGTTTTGTATGTCTTTCATCGCTCTTTCTTCAACTTCGTCATGAAGCTCCTCCACCGTTTTGTTGTACCTCTTTTTCACATAATCGTTTATATCTTGTTCACTCCTTTTTCGTGACTTGATGTCCAACACGTGTACCTCCAATATGCATTTCACTAAGTCGCACTTTCCAAGGATATAATCATTTATAGTCTCTTCATCATCCGATTGTTCTCCTATTCTCCCTTTTGCATTTCCTTCTTCACATTTCTCGTACTCACTGGGGTCATAAACGTTTCGAAGAATGTCCTCCGTCCTTGAAGTTGCTCCTCTCCCGTATAGTTTCTCGTCCAGGGAATTGATATCATCTTTGAGCAGCTCTGATAGGTACTTATCGAAGTTTCTGTTGAACTGGGTTTCTTCCTCCTCGTCTGATTGGTCTCCCCTGGGCTGGTCCCGCAGCGGGTGAGTCTGCGAATCCGATCGCGCTTCTTCTTCTTCTTCCTCGTCCTGCGTCTCTTCTCCATCATACAGAGGGCTGTTATCGTTTAGGATAAATTCGATGTCCTTCATCCCGGGGGAGTGCCCGGGGGCATGTCCGGCGGTAGTGGAGTAAGCAGTAGTGGAGTCAGCAGTAGTGGGCTCACCGCTAGTCTTCTCACCGCTAGCCTGCTCACCGCTAGTCGCCTGGCCGCTTCCTCCCTCCCGGTCGAAGAACTTTCCCTGGTTGGCCTTCATAATATCCTCCAGCTTCTGAAAAAAGTTGCGGCTCTTGAGCTTCTTAATTTCGGTGTAAATGACTTCCCTGAATTTGGTTATGCTCTCCTTGTCGATGTTCTTAACGTTGGGAGCTTCTTCGAAGTTCTTTTGATCCGCCAGAGGAGGGGAGGAGTCAAAGTGCGCCTTGAACAGATCCACAGGGAGGTAGGCGGTTATGTTCTTTTTATCATTTCGGGACAGTCCGATAAGAGACTCGTTAACCCCCAAGGGGTTATAATTCTCCTTCACGGTGATGACTTCACCATTCATGGAAATGACATCCGTCGGCAGTTGATACCCTTCTTTGAAGTATTTTGTAAATTTAGAGCTCTGAAAAAATTCGTCATAGTATTTACACTCCTCCATGTCTTTCCTACTTGTATCATTAAACAATTTTTCATCATTTTGGTGAGTAATTTCCTCTGCCTTTTTCTCATCACACGTTTCTTCACTGTTAATAAATTCATCTTCCGTTTTGTCGATATCGATGAGGTCTTTAATTCTGTCTGGGTTCTCCAACGCTTCATTCAGTTCTGCATCATCATCGGAGGTTTTTTCTTGGCTACTTTCCTCTCCACTTGGTTCCAATTTGTTTGTCACTCCCCCTTCAACGGTACACATATCACTGTGGTACTCGTTACTCGAATTGTATACCCACCCCCTGCACACATTAACATAAACATCGTCATTCCAATCTACCTTATGATTTTCATCCACATTTATTATAACTTCATTTTCTTTTTCCTTCTCATTTTTTATGACCTTTAAGAATTCCTTAAAAGTGCTGCCTTTTTCGTAAGGAGGAATTTCTACCTTCATCGGTAACCCTACAAACGATTTGTTAAATTTTATTTTTGGAAATTTATCCACTGAGAAGATTAGAGATATATCGTCAAATTTGCTAATCCTCATGTGGTTAATATTGTTCATAAGTTTTGGCGATCCGATCAAGTGTAGTTTTTTCATTTTTTCATAAACCTTAATTATGTCATCATTCACATGTTTGAGGAAGATCTCTAGGTAGTCCTCTTTCTTAATGTAATTAATTAAGTTGTTAATGGGTACGTCTTTGAAATAGGAGTATTCGTATTTATTTTCCTTCAGTTTGTTTTGCCTATATTGTTTTACGCACATGTCGTAGTAGTGTTCTCTCAAACTGCCTTTGATGTGAACCTTCAGCTGAATTTCGCTCCGTTCGTTGTCATCGTCGATATATTCGATGGTTAGAAGTTTTTTTCTTATGTGTTCTGTCAGCCTTTCTCTTTTTTCCCTTTCTTCAGAGGACTCTTCTTTGTCTATCTCCGCGATGAGGTTTTTGTTGATATCTTGTCCATTTTGATGAATCTCCCTCTGCACACCTTCCTCAGGGGGGATATCTTCTTTGGCCGCCTCCGCCATCGCGAGCCTCCATCCGAACTTGCGCTTCTTCTCGCATAGCTCCCCTGCGCAGAAACGCCACTTTGTTCTGTGCCCATCTTGCTTCCCCAATTGGGGACTTAAAAAAAGGAAATTCCTTATCAACACAGAACTGCTTACGTGGAGTAGAAAATACCCCCCACGCTCATTTAAGGGGTGCCCCCTACCGTAAGTGTCTTGTCGACCTCTTTTTCTTCTTTCCTTGAGAAAGAGCAGACCCATCGATGGAGTGCCAACCTTTGCGTATTTTTGTCCCCTCGCGCTGCACCGGCCTCCTCTTTTCCCCGTAACGATGTCGTGCCTCCCCTTGAAACTTACGTTTAGTTGACTTCTTCCCTTTTCATGATTCGCGTGGCGGCTACTGATCTGCAAAATTGCGTCAATGTGCTGGAGGATGAAGCATACCAGGAGGAACACTTTGGGGGGGCCTCCCAGTTTCGCAACCATGTTGCGGGTATGTTTGACCAGATTTGGTTCAACTTTCCCCGGGGTGCGCGTGGTTATGTGCCCTTACGCCTGCGCACTCGCCTGTTCATTCGCCTGAGTAGTATCTTTCCTTCCGATGTCATACGCAGTATCATCTTCGCTCGTCCATATTTCGTATACTTTTACACACCCTGCTGCTACACCGCATTGTTCCTCTTGGCCACGCTTCACTGGACTACAGAGCGCAGCACTTGCGCCCCTCCCTTTAAACAAACACAGAAATGGTTGGGACGTCCCGTACATACGCATACATGGAGAGCATACCGTTTTGCATGTTTATTTGGTCCCTCTTGTTACTCCGCTCGTAGCGCTTACAACAGTCACTCCCAGTCTGGGAGGATCGTTTCGGCCAAGTGTTATTCCGGCCAACTGCTGTCCCAGCCAGCGTTCCACTCATGCGACTTTGCGCGCAGGTAGCTGTCGGCCTAGTTGCGGTGGCGACGTTCCCGTTGTTATGTTCCACTCGAGTCCCCTGTGGCTTCTTCTACCCGGGGCGGTAGCCTATGGCACGGCTTGGAGCAATGCGGTGCTAATTCACCTCATTTTAGCCTCGACGTCATACGACTTGGGTGGACTTCATTGGATTGACTTGGCTCGAAGTTTACTTCCCAGGGTTGACTTCACTCCATTTGACTTCCTCCTAGTTGATCTTTTTTTAAAACAGATTTTTCCATTTGCAATTTCTTCCCACAGAGAGCTCCAATTGCGCCAAGCGTGCGACGCGAAAGAAGGGGACCCGCGGTGTACACTTGGGGGCTGAGTAAGCCACGCAGTTTTTTGGCGTGCACGTCAGGCGGTTCGGTTCACCCTTTTTGCTTCGCCCGCTTCGCTACATTGCGTCACATTTTTCTGTACTCACAGCGATTTTTTATTTTATTTTTTAGTTTCCCCTTCGACTTTTTTTTTGGCTTTTTTTTTCACTTTTCTTTTCGCCTTTTCATTTACCTTTCCTTTTTGCCTTTTCACTTACCTTTCCTTTTTGCCTTTTCACTTACCTTTCCTTTCTGCCTTTTCATTTACCTTTCCTTTTGGCCTTTTCATTTACCTTTCCTTTCTGCCTTTTCACTTACCTTTCCTTTCTGCCTTTTCATTTACCTTCTTTTGCAATTCCATTTTTCTGCCTCCCCGCCTCCCCGAAGTGACCCAAATTGCGACTCCCCAATTTGCCAGCGAAATCGCACAAAATCGGCATCACCTTTTACGCCGCAGTAGTACACGCTGTAGTGAAGTTGGCCCTGCGGGAGTTGTAAACGTGGGCAATTGAGGAAAGGCGAGAAAGGCTCCTCCTGTTCAGTTAAGCTGAGTCCCCGTCAGGCAAGCGCTTACACACAAGACGTTTCAGCTGAGGAAATCGCGCAGCCGCAGGGACACACGAGCATATACGATCGTTGCAAGGGCATAACCCCCCGCCGAGACCATGTCATACCCGTATTACACCGAGTTTTTTGTCCGCTTCCCCAAATTTAAAGAGAGGGAGGAAAGCGAAAGGACCGTCGACCCAAGGATCATGTTGGAAAAAAAGTGCGAGGCAAAATGCGTGCGACCCGTCCACGAGTACCAGAGCTGCGTAAGCAGAGTACAGGCGAAGCCAGAAATGAAGGGAAATTGTCTTGGGCAGCATGAAGAAATGTATATGTGTATCGACCACTGTGTGGCGAAGGATCTATTTAACTATCTCGTATAGGATACACCCCTCCTGGAGAGGGTTTACTCTGCGCTCTTTCCAAAGGGGAAATTCCCCAACCCTTTCGCGGCGCCGGCTGGACGTTTTTCCGAGAGCATTTTGATTTTTTTTTTTTCACTCGTCCATTTTGCTACATTTCAACATATGCCACGGCATCTTACCACCTTTTACCCCATTTTACCACATTTTAATTCCTTTTTCGTCGCTACCCACTGGCGCGCAAATGCTTTTTTAAAAATATAATTTATCAGACATCACGAGCATTGGGGGAACACAGCGAACACGCACGTGAGTACGGATAAGCAGTCGCGGAGGCGGTCGTCGTTCGGACGGAACGGCTGCTCCAGTTGAGAACTTGCGGACAAAAGTGTACAAGAAAAAAAAAAAAAAAAGTTACATAAACAAATGGGTGGGCTCCATAATGCGTACGGTTTAGGTTTAGGGTTAACACGAAGCAGACGTGGTGCCCAATGGGTCTAACTGTGACGGGAGCAATACACACCTCCAATAAGCGGAGTCACAAAATGGAAGTCGTCTTAACAAACGAAACCGTCGTGTCAACCGGATTCACGCTGCAATACATGCGCGCGGGGGTGTTGTAGAGGGGGTCACCAAAGCTATGGTCGACGTAGTCAATAATGCATTCCTGAATATTCTGTTCCTTATTGTAGGAATGCAGGAGGAGGGACAGCTTGTCTTTGTTGAGCATATTTTTTTCGTGACTCGCCGTTTGGTGAGGTTGTGAATCATTCTTCTTTACCTTCACAGAGACTCCCAAATTTTGATAGGGGTTATTAATCACGGGGTTGTTTGCACTGCTGGGGGTGTTGTCATTTTTTGCGCCCCGTTCGGTTGGCTCGGTTCTTTCGCTTTTCTCGCCTTTTTCGCTCCTTTCGCTTCTGTCCCTTGCCGATTTGAACGTTTTATTTAAATTTTTCGACGAAATGGATTTGTTTATTTTGTGAAACTTCGAGCGGCCGCTCCCGCTCCACTTCTTATCAAACGGCCTATTCTTGTTGTTCTCATTTAGGCAAAGGTTTTTAATAAAGTCGTAAAAATATTTCTGGTCCTTGGGATCGATAGCAATCTCTTTTTCTTCCGATTCCAGGATGGTATTTATCAAAGTGAAGATCCTTTTTTCCTTCACACTGTTATTAAAAATCTGATACAGCCATGCTGCTTTGTTAAACATTTGCTCACATGTTTCGAATAAGAGAAATAATTTCTGGTTAAAAATAATTTGGTATCTTTTTCTGCATGTCCTTTTAATCTCCTTGGAAAAGTTACTATCGCTGTATGTATTTTTTTTTCTTCTTCTCTCAGAATCGACAGAGTAATTTTTAAAATAATTTTCCTCCTTGTTAATGTTGAAGCTGTTTTTATATCCTGTCTTCTTTTCGCTACCGTAGCAGATGTCTACATTGTCGCTGCTGTTTCTTTCCGAGTCGTTCATATTTTCTTGTGACTTAACATGGGGAGGGGGGGGATTATTACCCCTTGACGGAGTATCCGCTGAGTGGTTCGCACTGTTTCGGTTAGAAGCCACAACACGGCAGCGTCCTTCATTGTTTCCTTTGCTATCACCCGGGGGTGGGGTTTTTCCTCCCTCGTTATCATCCCTCGGAAGAGAAGGCAAGTTTTCATCGCTACTGGTCCGGTGCTGCGCTAGGTTAGCGCTGTTACGCGGATTGGCTGCAACGGGGCAAAGGTGTATGTGGTCCCTCTTCGAATTGGGACGGCTTCCATCACCATCTTTAGAAGTCGAATTGGGAAGGCTGCCATCACAAGGGTGGTCTTTTCCTCGTGTATCCTTATCCAATTCAGACACACTGTGTTGACTCCTCGTGGGTTTCTCTACAACGCTGTCACGATCGTGACCCTCTTTATCACCATCACGACCGCTTCTCGCACCATCGCGACTGCCTTCCCCGCCGCGGTTTCCCTTCCCCTTCTTCTTACTCCTCCTTTTCGCCCTCTTGTGGATACCTTTTATAATGGTAAACATTCTCGCCAGAATGTCCTGAATCTTCCGAATATAAATCAACTTAGAATTCATCACAGAGTTTAAATACGAAATGAAAAACACCTTAAACGCACAGTCCAGCAAATCAATGATATTTAAATTTAGGAGATTGTCGAGGTTAAGCTCCCCCACGAAGAAGGTATTAAATGGGCATTTTATTTTTTTTATATAATCATAGTTATTCTTTACGTAATGAAACATCTTCTTTAGGTAGTCTTCCTTCCCCTTTCTACTAAGAGAG